GTTCTCACAGGAGAATAGAAATGGAGAAGATCTGAAATGTAAATTGGGGCAAGACCATGAAGTGCTCTAAATACAAAAACTAAAACCTTGAAATCAACTTTTTTTGCAGGTTGACAATTTAACAGGTAACCAGTGAAGTGAAACTAACACGGGTAATATGCTCCCTCTTTTTTGTCCCTGTCAAAAAGCGAGCAGCAGCATTCTGTACCAATTGTAAACGTGATAGTGAAGACTGGTTAATTCCAGCATAAAGAGCGTTACAGTAATCCAGCCTTGTTGAAATGAATGCATGAATAACAACCTCTAACTCATTAAAACTGAGAACACTTTTCAGCTTGCAAAGCCCCTTAAGACGCAAAAAACTGGCTCTGACTACAGAGTTAATTTGTTTGTCAAATGTCAATTCAGGATCAAAAATAACTCCCAGATTTTTAACCTTTTCATGGATGTTTTATTCAAAAGGGCCCAGAGTAGGTCTTAAATTATGTAAATGGGGTAATATGCTCCCTCTTTTTTGTCCCTGTCAAAAATCGAGCAGCAGCATTCTGTACCAACTGTAAACGTGATAGTGAAGACTGGTTAATTCCAGCATAAAGAGCGTTACAGTAATCCAGCCTTGTTGAAATGAATGCATGAATAACAACCTCTAAATCATTAAAACTGAGAAAACTTTTCAGCTTGCGAAGCCCCTTAAGCTGCAAAAAAACTGGCTCTGACTACAGAGTTAATTTGTTTGTCAAATTTCAATTCAGGATCAAAAATAACTCCCAGATTTTTAACCTTTTCATGGATGTTTTATTCAAAAGGGCCCAGAGTAGGTCTTAAAATATGTAAATGGTGAGAAGGGCCAAACAATATAACTTCTATGTAACTAGTCTTTTTTTGATTCAACTGAAGGAAATTATTTTCCATCCAATTTTTGATGTCTTCTAAACAAGCCAACAAGGAAGACACTGAATCAGAACCTGATTTTAGATGAAAATAAAGCTGAGTGTCATCTGCGTAAATGTGGTATGAAACTTTATGAGACTCAAATATAAAACGAAGAGGGAGCAAATACAGGGAGAATAAAATTGGACCCAAAATAGAGCCATGGGGTTCCCCACAAGTGATGGGAACTGAGCTTGATGAAAATTCACCAATTTCCACCGAAAAGCTCCTATTTGTGAGATACGATGCAAACCAGTCTAATGCAGTACCACAAATGCCAACCTCAAGATTTAATCTTTTTAACAGGATGTTGTGATCGAAAGCTGCACTCAGGTCCAATAATAAGAGAATAGTACATTTACCAGTGTCTGCAGATAACAAGAGATTTACTACTCTTAAAAGAGCTGACTCAGTACTATGTTCTAAAGCCAGACTGAAAAGGATCCAGAATATCATTAGAATGTAGGTAGAGGGAAATCTGGTTGAATACAACCTTTTCCAAAACTTTGTGCAGAAATGGCAGTTTTGAAATAGGCCTATGATTATTTAATTCAGTGGGCTCAAGATTTGTTTTTTTGAGTAAAGGCTGGACCACAGCATGTTTAAGACAGGAAGGGACAGTGCCTGTCTGTACAGAACCATTAATAATAGAGAGTAAGCTAGGCAAAACAGAGTGCAGAACATCATTCAAGCAGCTTTTGCATACCAAAAGCTCTCAGTATCACCTAAAAACATTTGAAGCCACTTAAGTTTTAACACAGTATTCATACTCTAAAATTCAATTACATTCAGACCACCTTCTTCGTACCCTTTGATAATATCAGATTTTCTAATATAATGAGTTTTGTGCCTCCAAATAAAGTCATACATTTTTTGATTGCTTGTTTTTATAATAACTGAAGAGGGAGCTAATGAAAGAGCTGGATAGATCAGTCTAGATAGATATTCAACTTTAGATTGAAGAATTCTCCCGAAAATAGATACATCTCTCTGTAACCAGCTATTCAAGATACCATTGGCTTTTTGTATTTTATTTTCAAAATTTTCTTTCATACTAATCTTCAAATCTTTGGAAATAGAAATGCCTAGATATTTCACCGTCTCTTTAACTGGAATGTAATATAAGGACAAATCTTGAATGGGGTGTAGGGCCAAAAGTTCACATTTGTTTAGATTTAATTGAAGGCCTGAAGCTTTACAAAAGGAATTGATTAGAGAGATAGCCAGAGGAATTTGCTCTTTGTTTTGCAAAAATAATGTCGTGCAACACACCATGCCCACCGGAGAGGAACGTCCCATTGCTTACGCCTCACGGACTCTGGTTGGTGGAATGCTGATAGCTTCACTGGAAGTTTGGATAAATCAAAGTCACATTTGAGAAGGAAGCGGATACCACCCAATTTACGAAACAAAGCTGAAGGCACTGCATACCAAAAGCTCTCAGTATCACCTAAAAACATTTGAAGCCACTTACGTTTTAACAAAGTATTCACACTCTCAAATTCAATTACAGTCAGACCACCTTCTTCATACCCTTTGATAAAATCAGATTTTCTAATATAATGAGTTTTGTGCCTCCAAATAAAGTCATACATTTTTTGATTGCTTGTTTTTATAATAACTGAAGAGGGAGCTAATGAAAGAGCTGGATAGATCAGTCTAGATAGATATTCAACTTTAGATTGAAGAATTCTCCCGAAAATAGATACATCTCTCTGTAACCAGCTATTCAAGATACCATTGGCTTTTTGTATTTTATTTTCAAAATTTTCTTTCATACTAATCTTCAGATCTTTGGAAATAGAAATGCCTAGATATTTCACCGTCTCTTTAACTGGAATGTTATACAAGGCCAAATCTTGAATGGGGTGTAGGGCCAAAAGTTCACATTTGTTTAGATTTAATTGAAGGCCTGAAGCTTTACAAAAGGAATTGATTAGAGAGATAGCCAGAGGAATTTGCTCTTTGTTTTGCAAAAATAATGTCGTGCAACACACCATGCCCACCGGAGAGGAACGTCCCATTGCTTACGCCTCACGGACTCTGGCACCTGCTGAGAAAAAGTATTCACAAATCGAAAAAGAGGGGTTGGTGCTCATCTTTGGGGTAAAACAATTTCACCAATATCTGTGGGGAAGGAAATTTAAGATGGTAACCGACCATAAACCTTTGTTGACTTTGTTCGGAGAGTCTACCCACCATGGCAGCGGCCAGGATTCAAAGATGGGCAATCATCCTTTCAGCTTATGACTACCATATTGAATACTGTCCCTCAGAGAAACACAGTAATGCAGATGGCTTTTCACGTGTTACCCTTCCTGTCATGACTGATGTGGGCACAGCTGCCTTGTCAGAGTACATTCATGCACTAATAGCTGAGCACTTCAAACAAGCTCCTTTGAATGCGGACCAGGTGGCACGTATAACACGCAGAGACAAGGTGTTATCCAAAGTTCTGAAATATGTCATGGAGGGTTGGCCAGTGGATGTGGATGAAAGTTTGAAAGCTTACCATTCACGCAGATATGAACTGTCTGCAGAGAGTGGATGTGTGCTCTGAGGCACCAGGGTGCAAATTCCTGATAGACTGAGAAAGACTGTGCTGAACGAACTGCATGTCGGTCGTCAAGGGATAGTAAAGATGAAAGCTCTTGGCCGCAAGTATGTGTGGTGGCCTAAAGTGGCTGCAGATCTGGAGCAGGTTAGCAGAGCCTGTGAGTCGTGCCAGATGGAGAAAAAAGCACCACGTCAGATTCCGTTACACCCATGGGAATTTCCTGGTCAGAGCTGGAAAAGACTGCACATAGATTTTTCTGGTCCTTTTCTAGGACACACATTTATGATACTAGTGGATGCATATTTGAAATGGTTGGAGGTATTTACAATGCCTAACCTCACCTCACAAGCTACCATCGCAAGACTGAGGAGACTGTTTGCAGCATACGGACTTCCGGAGCGCATTGTCACAGACAATGGAATGCAATTTACATCTGAGGAGTTCAAAACCTTCATGCAGCAAAATGGCATCCTGCATTCAACGAGTGCTCCAGGTCATCCTGCTACCAATGGCTTTGCAGAAAGGTATGTGCAGACATTTAAAAGTGGAATAAAGAAACTCGCACATTTGACAATGGACTTGGAAGATAAGATCTCTCTTTTCCTCATGCAGTATCGCACTACTCCAAACTGCACTACAGGCCAATCGCCAGCAGATCTTTTTCTTAACAGACATGTGCGCACTCGCCTGGACTTTGTTCATCCAGATGTCACTGTCACTGTTCGCAGGAAACAATACCTGCAAAAGTTCTATCATGACCAACGGGCTGTGGAGAGGTCTTTTTCTGAAAAGGATGCAGTGTACCTCCGTAACACCACAGGAGGAGGGAACAAATGGGTTCCAGGTGTGATAGTAAAGCAAACCGGACCAGTGTCTTACAAGGTTCAGGGACGAGATTCAGATGTCACGTTCAGGAGGCACGGCGACCAGTTGTAGAGGATGAGCTTGTTAAAGAGACTGATTGCTCAGGGGTTGACACTTCGATTCAACCCTGCACACCAGAAGAGGAAAAACAAGCAGTTCCTGAGCCTTTTCAAGAGGACAGTGGGGGGGTTACAGGGGTTGCTCAGAGTCCACGTCGCTCATCCAGAATTAGAAAACCACCAAAACGCTATGACTTGTAATACATAAAAAAAGAGAAACCCTTGGATAGCACTCCAGTATAGGACTTTTATGGTCATATATATATGCAATGCTTATTTTGTTCTGTGATGTTGTTGTTTAAAAAAAAAAAAGTAACAGTTATGTTGTTGGTTCAGACAGTAAAGTTGTGTGTTGACATGTCTAGATTTCTATTAGGGTGAAGCTGAAGGTACCTTTGTTTAAAAAGGGGGGTAATGTGATGTATTAAATGCTTAAAATTTTGCATTTGAGACAATTGAGATTCCGTAGCAGTAGCGCTAAGAATGTTGGGAATTGCTTTGGGCGCGAGTTGGGCGGAAGTCGAGAAAGCAGTAAAGTGGTGGCTGGAAGACAAACGACGTGACATCAATAAATTATGGTATGTTCGTTTCTAGCCTTGCTCTTGCGTAATTTGAACGTCATCGCTCAAACGTAAACAAGGAAGTAACTAATACACTGTGAATGAGCTGAGCGCTCCGTTTTACGTCTGTTCATATATGTTGCCTACTCACGAGTGAAGTTGTATTTATACATGTAATCAAGCACTTACAGGATCCTAACCGTTTTCAGGATCAAGAACTCCGATTTGTTATTGTGTTGTTAAAGCGCACTGGGATTTCATTATAAGGTAACACTTGAGAACACATGACACCCTCATTTATTTTTTTCATACAATATCACACAGCGTTTGACCTGTTTACAAAAGAAAGTTCACTTTAATGTCTTTAGATGAACACAGTATATTGTTTGACACTGCAAAGATTTGGTTTATCATCAATGGCATGCTTAAAAATGGCTTAAAAATTTACTGCATTCTGGTAACCAGTATCTAACCCATCACAGAGTCACACTGACCTAAAGGCACACCTATAAAGAAAAGTCTCAACCTTACAGATCTTCAGTCTGTTTTGCATGGTAATATGTCAAATGCTATGTAAGATATAGCTCAAATATATATCTAGTATTTATTGATAATTTGGTTGTAGGAAGAAGGAAACTTTAAAATATTATTTAAAATTGAAGTCTGTGTGTTGTTAAATCAGCAGGGATCCGCTATAATGTCATCACCTGTGGATGTTATCGTGGTTGGAGCTGGTAACGGAGAAAACTATTCTGGTTATGCTGTGTATGTGGTTTCCATGTGTGTTTGGTCAATGTTCACATGATAGAGTTCTGTTGATCAGTATGGTGTGCTTAGCTATTTTTTACTGGTTATTGAATGGCATACTTGCACTTTAAGTCGTCTGCTTTGAATGGGTTCAGTGTCCAACCGTTTTATTGTTCTTCGGGACCCTGCTGTGGCTTTAGCTAAGAAAGGCTACCATGTACCGCTGGAAAAACCAATGGCTGTAAGTGTTTGCCGTAAGGCTCCATAACATGATGCTTTTTGTTGGGCTCTATTAATTGGTTCAAAAGCACTTTAAAATGCAGTTCATGCATGCATGATTTATAGGCTCCTCTTCTATTATGAGCACATTTTTCATTTCTGAATTAAAATGTAAAAATTTTTAAGGGCAAACAAGGTATAAAAACTGTCAGCTGTCCTGATATCGTCATGAAGAAAACAAAAAAACTTAGAATTCGCAGAATTAACTTCTTGGGGAAAAAAATCCTTGTAGTTTTTTTCACATTCATTTATTATTATTTATTTTAAAAATATATTATTTATGTTATTTAAATACTTAAAAATATTTGTTATATAGTCAGGCCCATATATTTTTGGACACTGACACAATTTTCATAATTTTGGCTCTGTATACCACCAGAATAGAATTAAAATCAGGAAAATAAATAAATCAAATCAAGATGAAATTGATGTAAGACTGTAAATGGGCAGTGGCAATTCTAAGTACTTTTGTGCAGCAGCATGCATAGCTATTCAGATCGCAATGTTAGCAAATTTTATAGCATGCATAGCAAATTCAGATGCAAGGTTAGAAATAATATTAGCAGCAGCATGCATAACAAGTCATATTATTATTGTTGCTAATGTAGCAGAAAGAGCATGAAATTTTAGTGATAACTCATAGAGCGTAAATTAACTTTTTAAAGTGCAATAGGCATTTATTACTTTGCTTATTCAACAGGGCTTACAGCAGGTTTTGTGCAGCAGCAGTAGATTATGCTTTGCAAATTCTGATTAAATATTACAACCGCAACAGCTAGTACAGTAAATTCCTACTACAACATTGTGAATATCATTAACAGCAACAGCATGTAGCCTGCTTCAACTCAGTATTGAAATGTTGAATATGAATATTGAATGAAATTAATATTATCAATAGCAGCAGTAGCAGAAGTTTTGTTGCGTTGGCCATATCTCTCTGCATACATTGCAGACAGCTTTAGCTATCATAACGGGTCTATTGACTTTGTCATGTTCTGCCGCTAGCGTCTGGCATAGACACCGTGTTAAAGTAAAATAGGCATTCGCCTAGCTACTTATATGCCTAATTAATGGGGCTCTCAGCAGTTCAGTCTCTTGTGCAGTAGCAGCAGCTTTCATAGGCATTCAGTCATCGAGATTTTCCTCAGCAGCAGCATGCACAGCATTTCTATGTCAGACAACTGCATTTAAATAAAGTCACTGTAGTGGTCTTGCTCAAGACCATCTTGGAATGAGCCATGCATTTAGCAATGATGTGTTTATAATGCAAACATTATTGTTCTTAATATACAATATAAATATTTTAAATTATCAAAATAAATGAGCAGCTGCTTTTGAGGCAGAATTAGTCCTGGGCATATGACACCACAACTACAGGGTGTACAGTGATTTATTCTTTCGCCAAATATTTCGTTAGCTTATTAATAAGTTAAATGTGAGTATTTCCATTGCAGTAACGTTGATGAACTTTCATTAAAAAAAAAAAAGACAACTCTTGAATGACAAATTTAAAACTATTTGCTCAGGCTGCCCGAGCCGGAGTCAGATGGTTGCTGGGGGTTACTTCATCTATCAGCTGTAGGGTATCAGACTGAATCAGACAATTTAAGATTCGATCAAGAACATGGTTGAAACACGAGGAGCCGAATTCCACAGAAAGACCCAAGACTTAATATAATTTTAACCTCATTGAGGAACTCAATGCGAGGGTTAATTAAGTGATTGATGGTTGTTCATGTCTATGCATTTTCACATATTGCTGTAAACTTGGGATTTCACATTTTCATTTCCTTAAACTCCTTCTTTCCTTACTTTCTCGCTTTCTGCAACTTGTGTGAATGTGTGAATGCGTGTGTTCATGTGTTAGATTAGTTTACATGTCTTAGATTTATCCAATAAAGCCTTATTTATATTGAAAAGAGAAGTATCTTGTGTTTTGTGCTTACAAGTTAATGTCTTAAACTGCCGATCTTGTTACTGTGCTAATAAATAGTGTTTTCACTATGCTTTGGATATTAATATCCATTACAGAATTGATGTTATACGGCTCGTTCAATGAATCGCTGGCCATCTCAGTGATCAGCCGTAAAACAGTGATTCGGTCCAAATTCCCTATAAAATCATAAATGATTCCCTTTGAGCTAAATTGACCTGTTTCCCTTACACAGCCTACGCAGTGTGATACCTTTTTGTTAATGACACGCATAGTGAGCGTTTCTAGTTTGAGCTATTGGCTCAGACACACATAGTTATTTAGGCCATTAGTTAAATAAACCTAAGGGTACAGCACCCAGGTTCACGTTGTTAAGCCACTAGTTAAAGCCACTAGTTTAAGCTATGTGGTCAACCGATCAGGTACACACAGCAATAGTTCACTAGCGTTAAGCCATTCGGAAAAGCCGGCCCAGGCTCACATAGATAGTAAACACGCGGTCTCACGGCTCCGGAGCAGCAGCAGTACATATGTCTTGGCAATAGATCTGCTTGTTCTGCAGGGTTTTATCTTTTATATTTCTTCTGCCTTATAGGAATGATTTTAAGCATATTATTGTATAGCAGCAGCATACATATTTAATTGTTTTGTTTTCTTCTTCCAGCTTTGTTGGGGGGTTATTTTATATGCTATTTGTGCAGCAGCAGTATGTCTTAAATACTCGCGGCACCGTATCGCCGTATGCATTGGCAGTAGCAAGTTCCTGTACTCGCTTGCAGCAGCAGCAATAATCTACAACTACAGCAATAACCAACAGCAGCAGCGTAGCATCTATTCTGGCAAGACCAAATACATTAACATTGTCATATCCATCCATCACCATGCTAAAATCATCCGAGAGTTGTCATGATTGAACTATATGAAACCACCATGAATACAAAGTATAACTAAATTTTTCCTCTTCACTCTCATGACCTACAGACATAGTATTGTCCATGATTTGTGTATGATTTTATTACTAAATAAAATAAATATTACATTTTATTATGCTTTCTAAGGTTACAGAGGAGGACTGCACAGAGATTGTAGAGGCTTGCATTCAGATGTTTTCCGATACGACCCTGTCATCCACAGAATTAAAGTAGTTACACTTTCCTTTGAGTCTTAGTAAAGATCTATAGTAAGTCTCAAGCAGAAAAGAAGATACTTTTTTTTTTCAACAATTCAGGGGCTGATTGACAGTGGAGTGATTGGCGATGTCATCCACATTCAACATCTGGAACCGGTAGGATGTGTTTAATGTGTTTGCGGTGTGCGTGTAATGCGTGTCTCTCTGTGTTGTGTCAGCACTGTCTTCTCTAATAGGTGGGGTTCTATCATTTTGCTCACTCCTTTGTCAGAGGAAACTGGAGAAACGAGGCGGAAAGCTCTTTTGCTCTGCTAGGCCTATGCTGACATGATTTGGATCTGATTCATCACTGGGCTGGTGGACGA